AAGCAGCGGATCCCATACGAGAACCGCACCAACCTGCGACGCTACGAGTGCATACCATGCGAGACCGTCTACCACCGCGACGTGCTTGGAGCCACCAACATCGGAATGGTCGCACTGGAGCATCTGCTTTTTGGACAACGGCCGCTCTACTTGACGCACACGCCAGTCGATCCGCCTGTCGTCCAGCAGCCTCCAGCACCAGATCAGCCTGTCAACCAGCAGCGTTCTAGACACGCCATCAAGCGACGTCTAGAACCAGATCCGACGGTCGACCAGCAGCGCCCAAGACGTGCCATCAAGCGGCGTCCAGCACCGGATCCGCCTGTCGTCCAGCAGCCTCCAGCACCGGATCCATCCGTCGACCAGCTGCGTCCAACACGCAGACAGCGTGCCAGCAAGTCAAGTGCCACTCCACGTGCTCTGACTTCCAGCACAACCACCAACACTTTGAATCGGGGCACCTCCCGATCGACCTAACGGGTCACTTATCACATCATTGTTCAAACAATGGTGCAAGGTGAGACCCTCATGCATGTGGATGTGCCTCGCCCGCCTGTCGTCGCATGCTCGTTGCTGACTCGAACCTTGCATCGTGTGATATGCGGGTTTGCATTCGACGCCTCTCGGGTCGAATCCAATTCCAAAACGCTTGGTAATTGTTTGAATGTCGGGCCATTTGCCGGCGGTTTGCCGGTATTCCCTCGCCCTTTTTCCCACCCCTCAGTCAGTGTCGCGGGTCGAGGTTTGAACCGCGGGTCGCATGTGTCACACGTGCCACACGTGCCACATTCGCACAAGTGCCATTGGTTGCGTGACAGCACGAGGTAGACTTGGACCCTTGTTCTCCCACCAGTCCAGCCAGCCCGCTGATTGGCTGGAACGAGAGACGTGCTGGCGAGGTGAATGCCTCGTGACGAGCGACCCGTGTTTGCCCGCGGTATAAAGAGCAGATCGTCCCGCGACCCCCACACTGCTGCCCAGCCCACTCTGCCTCTTCCTCTCTGCAATGATCCTCGGAAACGTTGCCCTTGTCGCTTGCGCTGTCGCCTCTGTCGCTGCCGCCCCTGCCCCGGCCTCCCCTGCGGCTGTTGCACCGACCACGTTTGATCGCCTCGCAATCATCGTCTTCGAGAACACGGCCTACGCCACTGCTATCAAGCAGACCTACTTCAAGACGCTGTCCACCCAGGTAGGCTGCGCTGCTCATAGTCTTGGATACGGCTGTCACTGCCTACAACTGACTCTCTTGTCCACATGGTATTGTCCGCCTGCTCTGCTCCGGTGAACGACGACTCGACGGCTTAGGGCCGCCTCTACACCAACTACAAGGCCATCACCCACCCCTCGCAGGGCAACTACGTGTCGATGGTGAGTGCACCATCGTGCATGACAGACCTGCCGTATGCCTGCACAGCGCTGACGTCACCATCGCCGTTTGATCACACTTGTTGCGTCGTTGCAGATTGCTGGCGACACTGCTGGTGTCACTGGCGACGGCGTCTACAACATCGATCGCCGCTCGACGATTGTCGATCTCCTCGAGGCCAAGGGCATCAGCTGGGGTGCCTACCAGGAGAACTACCCAGGCAACTGCTTCACCGGCAAGTCTGCCGCCGGCGGTCTCTACGTCCGCAAGCACAACCCCTTCATTTCGTTCACGAACATCTCGGGCAACCCGGCCCGCTGCGCCAAGATCCGTTCGTTCGTCGACTTTGCTGCCGACACGGCCGCCGGCACCGTGCCCAAGTACGTGTTCATGACGCCCAACATGGACAACGATGCCCACGACACTTCGGCCGCCTTTGCGTCCAACTGGCTCAGCAACTTCCTGCCGCCCCTGCTCGCCAACCCGTACTACAAGAACACGACCTTCCTGGTCACCTTTGACGAGGACGACTACTCGGCCAGCAACAAGATCTACACCGTTGCGATCGGCGGCCCCGTTGTCCCCGGCAACGACTCCACTGCCTACACCCACTACTCGCAGCTGGCCGCTGTCGAGGCTCGCTGGGGTCTTGGCGACCTTGGCAAGAACGACAAGACCGCCGTTCCCCTCAAGTTCTTCTAAGTGCACGTCTAGAAGCGCATTTCGTCCGTCCTCTTGCATCCTCACGCCATACATGAACTTGTGCAATCGTGTGAACAGCTGTACGCTTGAATAAACGATGTTGTATTGGAAACAAAGAGAACACACTGGATAGGCACACATCATGTCCAGGGGACACCGGCTTGGTTAGGTTGAATACATTGACTCGTTGTCGTAGAAATAGTACGGAGGGCCATCGTCTGTCGGGTAAAGCGTGCTGCAGTCGCAGTCGGTGCACACTCGTACTTTGGACGCGTCCTTGTGCGACTGCCGAAACACCGAGCACTTGTGGCAGATGACACGCCCGCAGGTCCTGTTGGCCAAAAATGGTGGCAGTTAGTCGCACAGCTGGGATGCGAGCAAGCTTTGAGGAGCAACGCATACAGCACGTACCGGCAGTGGTGCTTTCGGACAAACAGATTAAACTTTGTGATTCTGCAGATCATGCAGATGACGGCCTGTATGCACCACAGCATTGACGTGCCAGCGTAAGCATGCATCCAACAACACACTTTCTGCATGGCGAAACCGCACCTCTTGGTCAGGAATCCATTTCTCTGCATAGGCAGATCCTGCACTGTTTGCCGTCGAGACGCTTGGCGTACGCGTTCGCATGCCAGCACCAAACGCAAACTCTTGGCCAGCATGAGCGCTATCGTAAGACGTCCCTTCGATGGCAGAGACCCATGCGGCAGCCAGTTGCTGTCGCTCTGCTTGCGGAAGAAGTAAAGGCGATGGCAATCCCATGGCTGCCAATGCAGGCGACACGCCTGGCGATGACATGGCCGCACCTGCGTTGCTGCCACCTGTACGCTGTGCTTGCAGCTGGATGCGGCGTGCATAGCGAATCATCGTGGCCCGATGAGCGTCCAGAGTCGTAAAGACGGTGTTGACCCATCCGTCACGCTCAAGCTCGTGCGCAAAGAGAATGCCGATGCTCGTTTGGCCCGAAACAAGGTGCACTCCTAAACGGGTTGGTTAGCGCACGCTTTGACGTGGCAGTCAGACGACAACAGCTTTACAAGGAACACACGCACCTTGCTCGCCGACTTTGTCGAGGGCAATCTGCTTGTCAAAGGAGCATGTCATCTGACTGGCATACACCTGGCGCGGGTCTTGCGGCTGGGTAGCCGTCTTCTCCGTCCATGGGCCGCAGATGAGCATGTTGTTGAACAGCAGCAGCTGCAATGGCCTGCCGTCCATGTCCATGGCGTCGTCCTTTCGAATAAACACGCGGTATCCATCAATAAGAGGCTGGCGTATCATGGCGTCAGCCGTCAGTTATCGATAGATGAGGCATGCATTTCACTCGCACGGGATCGGCGAATGGCCAAGCACAGACGCACCTTGCCAAGAGTCTCAATCTCAATCTCCATGAGTTTGGACATGTTGCTGAACGTTGTTGCCGGGTTTGGAGGGCGGCTTGAGCGGACAGAGTCACGCGAAACATGGCTGCCGTTGTCGTTGAAGCTTCCGACGGCAAACTCGCCGGGGATGGAAGAAAGAGACGCACGGTGTCGCAGGATGGATCGCTTGAGTCCGTTGGCGTTGCTGTTGAACGAGTTGGCTGGCGACGCGCCGCCACGCGGAAGAGTTGCGAACCCAGTCGACAGCGGGCTGCGCTGTGGATGGGCCGGGTGCTGGGAAACAGGCAACTGCTGCTGCTGCTGCTGATGGGTTGGGATGGGCTTTGTGATGATGGGCGACGATGTCAGCAGGCTGGGATCGCGGGTGCTGGACGGCCGTGCACCACCGCTCAGCGCATTGATCGAGTTTGGATTGTCTTGAAGTGGACGACGTGGAGCATTGGCGCTGGAGGGCGGCGCTCCAAGAGTTGGTTGCGACGAGGCCCGCGCAACGGGTCTTTGCAGGTGCAGCTTGGGCGATCCTTGGGTGTGCTGTCCTTGCTGCTGCTGTTGCTGCTGCTGCTGCTGTTGGTGCGACTGTTGGTGAGCCGTCACAGGCCGTCGGTTGCCTGGCGCGGCTGGGCCACCGCCACTGCCCGAGCCGCTGGAAGGCATGCCGCCGGCACCAAGGAGCACGGCATGCTTGTTGGCAGCAATAACCCTGTGCCGCGGCTGGCTCCCTGCCGGCTGCCTGTTCTCCTTGGGTGTAGCAGCGGCAGCAGCAGAAGTGCTGGACGGTTGGCTACGAGTTGCAGCCGTTGAACTTGCACCGGCTGTCGCAGAAGCGGCAGCAGCGGCAGCCGCTGTTGATGTCGCAGAGGTCGCCGCGGTGGCGGTGGCGTTGCTGCCTGTCGACAAGCTTCGGCCGCTACTGGTAGAAATGGACGCATTCGCCGAGCCAGTTCCAGCAGAGACCGCAGTGCCCGTAGTGCCAGCAGTGCCCGCAGTGCCAGACATGCGACGAGAGTCCATGCCTGTTTGTTGTCGGCGTGCAAGGTGGGATTGGTGTGCTCGAGTTGAAACGGTGGATCGTGAAACAGATCGCGAACGTGCGTTTCAAGAGGGTGCGTGGAAACGATGCGCATCTCGTGGTGTAAACTCATTGCAACTTCTCACACAGCACATGCCACGAGCCATGGCACAGACTTGTTAGCAACAATCCCGTATGGTTCCTGCCAACCAGTCCGCCGTTTGTGTGCCCAGAGATGAGACTGGATCACGACAAGTGACGCCTGCAGCAAGTTCGCAGCAAGGCTGGCATTGACGAGCAGGCCGTGCAAGATGCCAGCCAGTGGACTTTTGCCAGGCGAGTGGCCGCGTGTCTCGAGGTCCATTGACTTGATGCTGGATGCCAGAGAGCCAAGACACGGCAAACGCGCGACAGGACACTGTGCAAGTCGGCGTGGCGTTGCGAGCAACGTGATATCAGCAAAAGGAGAGCGCCACGACAGGATGCACATCGTCGCTGTCTGGCTGAGCAAAAGTGTATGCTACATGGACAAAAGAAGTGGTTCCATCCGGGATCGAACCGGAGACCCCCGCGATGTGAACACGGTGTGATAACCAACTACACCATAGAACCCCCTTCTTGTCTCTTTTTTCGGCTATGCGCTAATCATTCATGACTTTTGGATATCCTTCCTGAATTGAAATGCAATGCTCACGCGTTGAATTGTGTAGGATACTGGATTGGAATGCAGCCAGCTTTCGACATCTGAACTTCATATCAAAGTATAGTAACACTGTGATGGTATGGCAGATCCTGCGACACTCTTGAAGAAGCTCATGGAGCAAGTCGTCCAGCTGTATCAGTGCTTCCAGAGTCGCGTCCTTGTGACTCTTGCTCACGCAGCAGGCGTGCCGACTGAACAATTGGGATGCCGGCAGGCGTGTGCATGATGCGTGGTAGTGCGACGGGTTGCATGTCTGGACGCGAGACCGTAGGCTGGACCGTTGCGACGGCCGGCTCGGCTGACAAAGGTTGGTTGGATGAACTGCCGTAGAAGCTGTCGCGCTGTGGGCTGTAGTACGGCGCCAGGTGGTCGGCACTGATGAGGTTGTCGACCGCCGAGCCGTTTGGACGCATCAGTCGGTACGTGTCGTTTGGGCCTTGGTCAGTGATGATGAATGGGCCGATCCAGCGGAACTCGAACTTGTTCTTGTCGTGGTGCCACATCTTGACATACTCGCCAATCTCAAACCGACGCTCCTGCACAGGGTGGCTGCCGTCGTACTGCTCCTTCATGCGTTCGGCCTGGCGCTGTCAACAGTGCAGAGCGGCCGCGTGGTCCAGTCCAAGATCCTCGAGCTCGCATGCAGTCCACGCGGCTAGGTCGTCCGGATCGCGCAGGTCGTACTCCAGCGGCGGTCGGTCGTCACCGGGCAGCCGCGGCTCAACGCCAAAGAGCAGGTAGAACGGCGAGAAACCGGTCACCGAGTGAATGCGTGTGCGCAGGGCAAAGACGGCTTGCGAGAGATACACATCCCAGTGCTCAGGAGAACTGGCGCACAGCTTGGTCAAGATGTCGCCCAGATTGCGGTGCATGCGTTCGACGGCTCCATTCGTGCGTGGGTGATATGGCGTGCTCGGCAGATGGTGGATGTCTTGCAGACGCAGGTACTCTTGCATCGCCTCGGCCATGAATGTAGCTGCGCGGTCAGACACGATCTCAACAGGTGCACTGTAGTGCATCATGATCTCCTCAAACAAGAACCTGGCGAATGTGGCCATGTCCCGCTTGGCATAGGCCTTTGCGACGTCCCATCCTGTGGCATAGTCGATCGCGGTGAAGATCTGTGTGTTTCCCCGCTTGGTCGGCGTCAAGTCCTGCACGATGTCCACTCCCCACCGTTCAAATGGAAGCGCGACGGGTGGAAGCGGGTGCAGCGGTGCGCGTGGCGGCCTGGCTGGCACCTCGTGCAGCTGACACTCGGGGCACTCCTTGATGAAATCGACCAGCGACGCCTCCATGTCTGGCCACCAGAACCTGTGCTGCAACAGCCCGAGCAGCGATGACGAGCCCAGGTGTCCAAGCGACCAGTGGTACCTGCCAATGAGCGTTGTCTGTTCGGACGCCGGGATGTACGGGACCGTCACGACCTGGCGGTGCACATTGACCTTGCGCATGAGCGTGTCGTGCTTGATCTCGAACCGCGACGCCTCATGCCGGATGCGCGCCGCAATGTCGACCGGAACCGTGTCTGGCACAGTGCCTCTGTACTTGAACTGGACGACATATGCAGGCCAGTCAGTCTCTGGATCCCATTCCTGCTCCTCAGCGACTGCCGGCGTCAGCACGTTCAGCTGCGCGGCCCTTTCGAGCAGGCCGTATGGGTCCTGGTCCGAGACTGACTGCTCTGGCTCGGGCAGACCTGAACGACGCGACGGACCATCTCCCAGCTGTGCCGATCCCGGCTGGTACACCAGGTGCGGCTTGTAGTGCTCGAATTCCTGAATCCAGCCCCACAGACGCGGCTTGGGGTCTTTCATGCTGTACAGCCATAGCAGCGGCTTGTGATCCGAGTGCACGGTCGTCGGGACGCCATGCACATAGCACCGGAAGTCACGCAACGCCGCAATGACCGCGAGAAGCTCACACTCATGGGTCGGGTACCTCTGCTCTGCGTCGCTCAGCTTCTTGGACATGAACGCCATTGGCTGTGGGCCCTTGCCGAGATCCTGCGTCAAGACCGCGCCGATGGACTCCTTGGACACGTCTGGCCAGATGTCCATTGGCTTGGTAAAGTCTGGCACGATGCGAACGGGAGCTGACACAAGCGCCTGCTTGAGCTTCTCCAAGAGGGTCGCAGGAACGTCCATACCATCACAGTGTTACTATACTTTGATATGAAGTTCAGATGTCGAAAGCTGGCTGCATTCCAATCCAGTATCCTACACAATTCAACGCGTGAGCATTGCATTTCAATTCAGGAAGGATATCCAAAAGTCATGAATGATTAGCGCATAGCCGAAAAAAGAGACAAGAAGGGGGTTCTATGGTGTAGTTGGTTATCACACCGTGTTCACATCGCGGGGGTCTCCGGTTCGATCCCGGATGGAACCACTTCTTTTGTCCATGTAGCATACACTTTTGCTCAGCCAGACAGCGACGATGTGCATCCTGTCGTGGCGCTCTCCTTTTGCTGATATCCACGTTGCTCGCAACGCCACGCCGACTTGCACAGTGTCCTGTCGCGCGTTTGCCGTGTCTTGGCTCTCTGGCATCCAGCATCAAGTCAATGGACCTCGAGACACGCGGCCACTCGCCTGGCAAAAGTCCACTGGCTGGCATCTTGCACGGCCTGCTCGTCAATGTCAGCCTTGCTGCGAACTTGCTGCAGGCGTCACTTGTCGTGATCCAGTCTCATCTCTGGGCACACAAACGGCGGACTGGTTGGCAGGAACCATACGGGATTGTTGCTGGCAAGCCTGTGCCATGGCTCGTGGCATGTGCTGTGCGAGTACTTGCAACAATGCATTCACGTACATTCAAGTAAACATGCTGCTCGCACGGATTCCCTTGTCCGAGTCCCGTAGTAGGCTGGTATTACTGGAAGATTGCCAGAGGGTCTTCTATGCTCTTTCCAACACGACAATCATATCTTCATTCCAACGTCAAAGAGCGAGTCTTGGCTGTCCATTCATCACATGCTTGACGCTTGCAGCTTCTTGATGGTTGACTCGAGTCGCTCGATGGTGGCGTTGGTGACATTTCTTTGCCTCGCTTCAGCAAGCAGCGTCTGAGCCTGGTCCAGTGTGAGGCTGCCGAGGAGGATATCGGCGATATCAGCAGTCTGAGCACAGACGAGTGTGTCGAGTCCAGCCACATATCCACAATCCACCAGATGCTGCACCAACTCGGTTTTGCCCATTCTGGCTGTCGTTATGATGAAGTTTCTTGATGCGCGAGAGCCTTTCGAGTGCATGTACTTGACGACGCCAATGAATCCCTCGTCGATGGCTTCGCCGAGTGCCGCGGACGTGCACTCTACACCGCGGGTCTCGTGGAGCCACTTGACGATATGCAGATGACCGCTGCGAGCCGCCTTATCCATCGCCCACTCCGTGCATCCTTCAGTCCTGTTTTCGTGGAGCCATTCGACGACGTGCAGATGGCCGTAGGCAGCCGCGTCATCCATGGCCCACGCCGTGCATCCTTCTATCCTGTTCTCGTGCAGCCACTTGACCACATGCAGGTGGCCTTCGCCAGCCGCCTGGTCCATCGCCTGATGGGTGCACGCTTCCGTCCTGTTCTCGTGAAGCCACTGCACCACGGGCAGATGACCGTTGGCAGCCGCACCATTCATCGCCGACGTCGTGCATCCCGTCACACCGACCCCAAACAAGTACTGCACAACATCAAGATGTCCGTGCCGCGCAGCTTGATCAACTGCTCCGTGCCAGAACGACCTTGCTGTACCCTGCTCGCCCATCCAGTGCTGGAGTGTTTTGTACTTGTCGTCGAGATACTTGAGCAGGTCGAGGCATCCAAAGCGGATGGCCAAGCGAGCGAGTATGATGGGATACGAAAAGTCGAACAGATCGAACCAGCCGTGCCGCATGGCGATGAGAAGCAGCCGGCTACTGATAAAGGAAGTGAAGTCGAACGATCCGTCGAAGGTGTTGTTCTGTTCGTCGTACATCGCGCAGGAGGGCTCGATGTCGTAAGGAAAGTGCTTGCAGAGACGATCGTACATGGAGCGAGAGTGTGCGAGGAGCAGTCCGTTGTCGGCCGTTAGAAAGGCGTCAGGCAGCAGCGCCAGATTGCCCTGCCAGTCGACCTTGGACGCATCGATCCACAGCTCCAGCTTGGTCGCTTGGTCGAGGCTGTCCTTGTCGCCGAGCAGGCCGCACAGGAAGAGGGTGAGCGGGCCGGCGTGCTTGAGGATCATGGCGTGGATCTCGGCGGGCTTGCCGTCCCAGTGGCTGCTGCCGAACGCAAGGTCGCCGGTGGCTGGCTGCACCACATAGCGAGGCACACCTGGCTGTGCGGTTGCTGCTGCTGCTGTCTTGAGTCGCTTGGCTGGTGGCTGTCCTGGCTCTCCTGGCTGTCCTGGCTCGACGGCTTGGCTGCCACTCGCTCCAACGACCTGCTCGACGACGGCCGGCTGCTCGGCTGTGCTCTGCAGCTGGCTCTGCAGACGGCACATCAGCTCGTCGCTGGCTGCTGCGTCTGCGTCTGCGTTGTCGGTCGCTGCGTCTGCATCGTCACAGCCGCTTGCTCGCTTTGTGGTTGTCCGGACAAGATCCACTTGACGCGATCGTCCAACAAGTGCCATTTCAACACATGAGAATGTGGGACAACCTCAGACACGGCATGCCATGGTGCACAGCGTGGCTGGCGTGGTGAGCTTGGCATGCGGGATATGGTGTGAAGCATGCAATGCATAGCAGATGCGTGCAGCGGGATGGGCACGCTTGTCTGCACGTCCTCATCCGAGTCTGAAAAGGCACCAAACAGGTCGTCGACGTCGACCTTGCCCGCTCTCTTCATCGTTGCGGTTCGAGATCAACAGCGACAGCAACAAAAAGAAAAACGAACGAACCTCGGCGACGATGCAGAGCACGAGCGACAGCAGCGC